AATCCACGTCGAGGGGAAGATGGATGGGAATGCATTTCTGAGTTAAGTACCTGTTTGAAATTCACTAAAACTCAAAAAGCCAGAGTACCAACATTAAGATAGAGGAGAGAACTGAAGACAAGTAGGACATCAAAAACTAGGCATTCTTCTCAGCAGAGTGCATTATTCCTTTAGGCATCCCTTTAATCAATACATGAAAGGGGAATCAAGCAGCATGTATGTCAATATGTAGCCATCACATTCGCAGGTGTTGTTGTGAGAGGTACTCTGGGTCAGAGTACAATACACTGTCTTTTACCTAGTGTAAAAAATTCTCAGAAGAGTACACCAGTTACAGATAATCACTAGACACTTTCCTGGAGCTAAGCCATCAACATCGAAAAAGGTCGGCTAAGTCACAAACCAAATCAGCTCTCTACATTCATATAAGAAAAGAATGGCTAAGTCACGAAAGTGGCCTAGTCAGTGGGCACCCAAAAAAAACCCAATGATGGGCTCCACAATTTGAAGACAATGCAATGGGAACACTGAATAGGTTACGAAAGATAAAAATACACTAGGAGGTGTTCCCCATCGTGGTTGGAACATGAGATATTATATAAAGAACAGGTGTCTTGTCCCAGATGGCTCAAATGCTACAAAGAATATGCATGTGAAGGTGTGAAAGGATCCATTGAGGCTGTTGTTAAACTCTGAAATAAGTACTGTGGGAGTTGAGTGTGGCAGCTTTTAAAAACAGTATTTGAATTTGAGAGAAGCAAAATCCCAATTACTGCCAAAGCTTTCAACTCAATGAGTCTATGCTGAAGAGAAAAGTACACAACTTCAACATTTCTCCCTTGCAGATAGATAGAAACATCATCCCCATAAATGACAGGGGAGTCAATATGTGTGAATGTATTATAAATGTCAGTTAACATTAAAAAGAGTAAGGCTAAAATGAGGACACTGATGAACACTATCAAACTGCTAAAAGATGGAAGGCTGAGAACCTCCAATTTTGACAAGAATGTTCTTCCACATTAGAAGCTATGTAATCAGTACAAGGTACACCATTTACTATCAAGATAATAAAGCTTGTAGAACAATCCATCAACAAAGACAGAGTCAAAAGCAGATTGAATAACCCTCCAAATACCAACTGCAAAATCTTTGTTGGCAAGGACAACAGTAATGGATTCTTGGAGAATAGCCAAGCAGCTTGAGGTACATTTCCCTGTATGAATGCCAGTTCAGCTGGTAGTTATGAGAAGAATATTCTAGACACCAGGTAAGATGTTAATTGACCACAAATTTGAGAGTATTGGCTGCACAACATAGCAAGGAGATTGGGCAATGGGATGTCAGACAAGAAAAGTCACTAGACTTTGGAATGGTGGTGATAGTAGCATGATTCCATAGAGGAGGAAAACAGCCAGTAATCTAACTGTCATCAAATAAGTTCAGGAGGAAATTACAAGAGTGACTACCCAAGTGAAGTAAAAGAGCATTAGCAACTGAATTAAAACCAGAAGCTGTATTCCTTTGGTGATGGGTGGCATCAAGTTCAACCATAGTGAAAGGGCATTTACCTAGTATAAATATCTTCAGCCAGTTCCCCAAAAGACAACAGAATGTTTTTATGAAGAGAGAAATCCATGAAAACACTAACCTTCTGGTATAAGAACTGTATAAAAACCTTATTTTTCATCTTCAGTGACTAGGTAATGATCTTCACCAAGTCAAGCACTGTTCAGAGGTTTAAGATGAACACAGTGTTACAGTCACTCTTGCCATTTGTGGGAGGATAGGTTCATGAAGTTGTCATGATTGCTAAAACCATGAATACCATTAATAAAAGAGGATATATATATATATAGATTTCCAACACACAAAAATACAGTATGTACAGTAATACACACTAAAAACAACAAGTACAGAAATACAGTAATGTAAAATAAATATATCTTAAACAAAAATACTTTTACTTAACTTGCCTTTAATAATAATGATGCAGAATATAGTGATGATATTGATGTTTTTGGTATGGTGGATTAGTGTTCCTCTAGAGGGTCATCAGGACAGTTTGCAGATGAGGAGGCAGGACCAACAGATGTGGCAGACGAGGTAGCAGTGGCAGAAGAGAGGTTACATGGGGAGGGTCTGTACAGAAACATGGTGAGAAGCAGCACTTTAGCCTTTTTCTGCTGGTCTTTATAAATCTCCCAGTAAGGCATTATTGCAGCCTCAATTTCCCTCTTAGCTTTCAGGCTCCATTCCATGGAGAGATCATATTCAGAAAGTTTATCAGTGAGTTGTTTGATGCAACTGAAGATCTCTAGTAATGTTTGTAAATTTAAATTAGGTTTTTCTGCCTCTTTACTCTCATCATTATCGCTTGTCACAGCTCTGCTAGGTTATCTTATGTAAGTTCCTTGCCATGTGACTTGATCAGTTCTTCAATTTCCATGTTATTCATATAATAAAACTCTGCTCCTCCAACTTCATGAGCTAACTCCACAATCCTCTTCACTTCTTTGTCAACTGATGGAAAACAACTGAAGTTATTGACTGCCTCCTTCCACAGCATCTTCCAACAGGTGTTTATAGTTCATAGCTTGACTTCATCAAGTGACTCCTTGATATTAGTGATGTAGTCTGTGATGTTGTAGGCCTTCCAACACTGCCTAATATCAAGCATAACATTATCTTTCATTGTACGATGAAATTGACTGAAGGTGTGCTTTGTGTAGCAAGCTTTGAATGTCACAATCACACCCTGGTCAAGTAGCTATATGAGAGAAGTCATGCTGGGCAGTAAGAAAAGCACTTCCACATTGGGATGGGCAAATTGCAAATTAGATGGGTGGCCTGAAAAGTTGTCCAAGATTAAGAGTACCTTGAAGGGTAGACCTTTTGATTCAAGGTATTTTTCCATCTGAGGGATGAAGCAGTGGTGAAACTATTCCATAAAAAAGCTAAAGTGACCCAAGTACTCTTGTTAGTCTTCCAAAAAAAACAGGCAAGCAGTTAGTGTTCTTTGACCTGTATACCAACATGGGCTCCACCATACAGTCACCCAACGCATTAGCACAGAGGAGAAAGGTTAACCTGTGATTGGCTGCCTTGAATTCCAGAGCAGTTTTCTCATCCTTAGAGAGGAATGTTCTTGTCAACATCCTCTTCCAAAACAAGGGAGTCTCATCTGCATTAACCATTTGTTTGGGCTTGTAACAGTTTTCTTCAATTATCTTAAGAAGCTCTACAGGATAATATCACACTGCCTCATGGTCTCCTGATGCTGATTTACCAACAAACTTCACATTACATAGTCCATGCATCCTTTACTAGTATTAAATGAAGATTCACTATGACTACCCCCTCACCACCTGATGCTTGCACAAAATGTCATATAATCTAAGAGCCTTTTCACGGATAACAGGGCAGTTGACGGGAACTTTCTTTTGTGCCATATCTTTGATCCAGACTTAACACCTTCTCCACTTTTTCTATTATTGGATCGTGAATCATACAAAACACTTTTGCACTGGATGGGGCACTTGCTGCAATGCTATCTCTTATATTTTTCTCTTTTTTTTCTTGATGTACTGTACAGTCGACTCATTAATGCCAAACAGCTTTCATATGTTCAGAAAACAATATAATATTTCATTTGATAGATGAAAACCTTGACTTTCTATTGCTTATACCTAATGTAGTATTAAGAGTAAGAGAGAACTATTAACAAATCCTGAAAGAGATGATGTGACAGATGGGTGTGGCAAGAGAGATTTAATTTTCTATCAAACGGCTCTGTAACCAAACAAAATTGAAGGCTACAAAAATTATGGTTTGTCTGAGCAATGATAATTTTAAAGTGAGCAATTTACATTAAATTTCATACTTATTGGAGGGATGGTGAATAACATAGAGAAGAGGGAATGCCAAGAGAAAATATGTCACATTTCTTACACTAGGGAAAATTCGGGATTATTTTAATATTACCTTATAAAATGAGTAACTTAAAACTTATATACTATTAAAATATGGATCATTAACTACAAATTTATGCTATACTAATTGGTATAACATAAATAAAGAGTAGTTCAATTGAATTTCAAATATAAGTAAAACCTTGTGAAATACTCAGTAAAGGATGTCCATGGCAATAGATAGGGTTAAGAGAGATATAATTATAATCTTGTGAAATATCATGATGGATCTCATCATTACTTAAGTCTAATGAAATATTTAAGATTACAGCATGTCACTCAGTGTACAAACAAGGGTAGTGAATCTTCCAGCCACCAAGCTGTGAAGTATAAAGAAACTTTTCTGGTATTCTGTTCCAATGAGGTCAACAGCAAAACAGCCACTAGCCAATTTTTTAAACTACCAATAATAGATATGAAATTAATGACATCTTTTGGAAATATAACTAAATGCAACTGAATGCATTTGCTGAAATGAATATCATCAAATTGTAATAAAACAGCCACCTGACAATGTGAATCAGTATGTTGAGCTACTGAGATAAATAAAGCCATGTTCCCCAGTCAAGCAATTGGACAGTCTGCAGAGCTTGATGTATTGCAGTGCTTTTCATCTGACCAATAAAAGGGTCGAGTAGTAGAGAAAAATACTTTGTGCTTGATGAAATAGCTTTCAAATAATTCATAGCTTTCTCATTAGTACCCTTGAAGGTCCTTCTCAAACATGAAGAAAGGATCTAAAAATTATGCACAAAGTTAAAAATGCACTGGGTTACTCAGAGTAGAAGCAAAATCCTGTTTTTTTAAACAACAATGTATCCAATTAGTCCATTATAGTTAGTGAAAATAAATTCTACAGATCAACAAGAAAATTTAATTTGTTAAAATTAATAAAATAAAGAATTAAAAGGTTAAGCAAGCCAAAAGTAAAGTAATCCTACCACTAATGTGATCCCTCATGAGATGCAGTTATCACTTTATTCAAACAGTCCAACATAGTCAATTGATTTAGGTCACACCTGGCCTCAATTTAGATTATGGTGGGAAAGTAGAACTTGTATACATAAAGATGGGAGAAACGTGGATAAGTTGACATTCAGAACTTCAGTTACATGGATGTTGACAATACAAGGGAAAATGAACAAGGAAAAGCTTTTCGTATTTAAAAGAAATCTGCCTGCTTGGAATTTGACACAGAATAATAACACACAGAAATTAATGTCCTATAAATATCATAATTTCTCTGGCTGTCGGACAATACAATAAGAGCCTTTAAAAACTTAGCTAAGTTCTTCAATGTGCTTCCTGCGAAAACAAATATGTCATTTGATATTCTGTAAGTACCTTTCCAATAAATATTACAAATCCTACCATTATATCACAAAAGCTTCAGAAAACAGAATTTTTTTTCTCACAAACCTAAGCCGTTTCAGAGCATTTTAAATTTCTATTAAGAATTAGTAATTTTATTTTAATAAATCCTGTGTTGTAATAAAAATATGTGCAAGGAATCTAATTAAATTAAAATATTCAACTTTATACAAAATTACATAATACAAAGAATTTTTATGTTTGTTCATCAAGAGTAATATGGAAATGTAACTAATGTTGTGCAGTAGCAAAATTTAAACACATTTGTCTGCAGTTTGTTAGCCACTCTTTTTTTGAAACAACTAATTGAATACACAGTTACTTCTCAAAAAAAATGTCACTTAGGTATTTGATAAAACATTTCTACTGGTACTTGAGCCTAGCAAATGTGATTTTTTTTAATATCATAGAAACAACACAATTTTACAAAATTTAAGGTATTTTGAAAATGGAACATTTATGAATTATTGTGATATTTAAAAAAATTGAGTTTTTGTACAGTTTAATAAAACTATCTTCTTACAATAATGGATGTAGCGTGTATATCAGTATCAGTATCCACAAACAAAAATACATAAAAATTTTACACCTTGGGTATTCAAGATTCAGACAATTACAAAAATAACTGTGGTACATGCAATGACCATTTCTTTATCAAAGAACACAATTTTAAATAAAAGTACTCTCCTCACAAGGAGAACACAACTTTCCCTTAGACTGTATGTGAGGGTTTGATTATATCTCCATTGATGTACTTTTTAAATGTAGTATTGAGAAGCTGGAGTTTTTAATACATTATTATTTTTTCAGTAAATGGTACAACTTTTATGTACAAAAACGTTACAGTTTATATCAGTAAAATATATGAACATTTTGAGCTCTATACATTGAATCATTCTGATACAAGTTTTGTAAGACTAAAGAGTACAGTCGGAACAATTTCACGAGTTTTGTAAGACTAAAGAGTACAGTCTGAACAATTTCATGAGTTTTGTAAGACTAAAGAGTACAGTCTGAACAATTTCATGAGTTTAGTAAGACTAAAGAGTAAAGTCCAAACAATTTCACGAGTTTTCTAAGACTAAAGAGTACAGTCCGGACAATTTCTTTGTGCAGTACTTCACTGAAAATAATATTTTTTTTCCCGAAAATGTTAATTTTTACTAAATCTTTTAAAACGAGGTATGAATACTGCAATTAGTAACTAGAATTCTCATTTATGTAATATAACTGGAAATAATTTTTTTATACAAAAACATTTTCTTTTATTTCAACTAGCTTTGTTGAGAATTACCACATCACAAGTCTTTTGTATGATACATTAATAAATTCTCAGATAAAGCTTATGATTTCTTTATGTGCTTTGACTACAAAAACTAGTTTTTTAAATAATTTTATTTAACAAGTAGAATTCTACTCATCACTTTCTATTTACTTCCTTCATCTCTACATATGTTTAAAAAATTGCATTTTTCACTTTTACTCAAATTTCAAATTAGTTTACACCCCTGGTGGCAAATAATCATCACGTAGTACGTACATACTTGTCATACGAGTGCTAATTTATATACTGGTCTAACTTAAGAGTATATTATGAAACATAAGTCTTATTTTATTGCAATATGAATAAACAGCTCAGGTTACAACCTTCAAAATTTACTTCTATAACATTATTTATTTTATATATTTTGCACTAAACTCTTCATTAGTCACATAAAATGGAAAATACTCACCTAAATAATGCTAACTTGTGAAGATGTCGAAGTAATGTAAGCAGGAAAAGGGGAGGAAGTAGAATAACGAGCCACTGAGGTCTGGAAAATTCCAAAACATTAATAAATATTCAAGATCAAAACCCATATGTTATAATCCAGCACAACATGTTTTAGCACCAGCATACTGTAAAGTAAATGTTATTGCATCTAATACCCTTATACAGTGTATCGTCAGAACAAGATTTTATGTTGTTTGTCAAAAACTCATGTAGTTTTCCAACTTTAGACTGTGATTTTGCCGAGAACTCCAATCAATTTTAAGCCATACCACAATCAGTGGGGCTGCAGCAGCCAGAAAACACCTGTTTACATCATTTCTTAAAAACAATATAAATATAATATATAAATGTTAAAAATAAAACTTTATCTCAAACTATGATTAAAAATATGGAAGTTAACATTTAGAAGAACATAATAGTTGTACTGGTGTTGAATGAGTTACAGAAAGAAAAAAAAAAACTTTCTTGCATTTGAAAAATGTAATCAATAATAATTTTAATCAATTTAGCCAATCATTAATTAACTTGGATCAATTTTGTTCTTTGCAACCAGATCAAACTTTAATAAACCAACAGTGTTATAACATTCTTCCTCTAACTGAAATAACAACTTTAGAATATGTTTTGTCTTTAGAACAAAATTCAAGATATTTGTTGGTTGGCGCACGAGTCAAGCAATAAAGGACAGTTTAATGTTTCCTTTACTGTTAACTTACTTGATAATTAAAGACTGAAGTTCATACAAGAAAATAAACTCAGATCAGCATTTTAGATTTATCTTTATATAATTATGAACTTGGGAGAAATTCATATCATTTAACTCTTAGAACAAAGTAAGCACACACGAAGTAACAGTAGCAAATCTAATAAAGATTGAACCTTATAGAAGGAAGTAAACAAAAAGGTAATTTAAAAAAGAAAAATAATGTAAAGAAATATTATTCAATTAGATTTGTTAGATCCCATTTAAAACTAAATTATGTCTGGGAGTTGTTTCCATCCATTTTGGGCTGTGTATCCCCAGTCAGATGTTTGTGCCAATATCATATTTTTGATGCAGATAATTTGTTAAAAAGCTTATAGAGTGGTCTATATTAATAAAAAAGGCAAACAAAATGGTGAGTCAACAACATCCAAACATTTTGTGCTGACTAGTGAAATACATTGGTAACTCACAAAGACTGCACTCCAATTTTGAGGCATGGGTTTATTTTCTTTTTAATGTTTTTCAAATGTTCTCATGTACTCCCAGAAAGGTTTTAGTGGTTTGAAACCACTGATGTATGGTTAAAGTTCATAAAGCAGACTATCCTGGCCATACCAATAGAAGATTAGTACCCTAGTGGGGAAACGGCAATACATCCATAACAGGTATGCTCTTCACCCAGAATGTAAATCATGTACTGTGGGTGGAATTTTACATGATCTGTCATCACTACTGGCCAGGCCTCAACCAGATAGCCGAGGTTCCACTGCTCGGTGTTGGAATTATAGGGCCATGGTCCCTATATTCCACGTTGGTGACTAGGGCAGTGGACTGAAATATATATATATACTCATGAGTGGATCTCAACCTGCAGCCATAGTGATGTGTTCCAAGCCACCAGAATTATAACAAGAAGGTAAGCAATTCCAAAGTAGACAAACCTTCTCCTCAACCTGATGAAGTCCGAAAGGTAACACCCCAAACTCAGAATGAGGGGATCCTGTATGACATACTCAACCTGAGGAAACAGAACTCATCTGTTCTGGAATTATGAACACACTGTTCACACACCAACTGAGTGGGCAAGGTAAATTCCTCTTGTCTCTGGAATTATGGGGAGGATGTGGAACAAACTGTGTTCAACCAAGAACCCAGGATGGGACCACTCTGCATTCAGAATTATGAGAAGACAATGGACCTTCTTCCATGAACAATGTACTGAACCAATATTGATAAAAAAGTAGGGCTACGCCCAACCCAACTGGATAGCCAAGCATCAAATCTGAACCAGTATTACAAGTAGGCCCGTGTGTAGGCTTGTGCCTTTCCTACCAACACCTGGGAGAAAACATCCAGGCTCTTGGGTAGGAGGGCCCCAATTTTGCCCTCTTCTCTAAGAGTGGAAGAATTCACTTGAACACTCTGGAGGAATAACCTCTCTCCCTTGGGTGTGGTAAGGATTCTCTAGTTTCACTAGTAGAATCTGGGGGCAATGTGGAACCTGAGGAACAGTGCAATAGCTGAACCAAGTCTCCTAAATTTTAAAAGAAAACCAACTCTGATTTATTCAATCCAATAAATGGCAGGGACAGGCAGGATCCACTTATACATTACTCATGATAGTCCATGAGTGGTGGTCCAGAAGTACAGTAATACCACCCGGTCAGCCTCTAGGTGGTCTTATGGAACACCTCATTTCTACAGACCCTGTTCCAATCTTGATAAAATATATTGAATTAGTGGTTGCTACTTGCAAGTTGGTTTGATAAAAGCACAACTGCCTAGACAACACTTGCCACAGAGTGGGATCCTGTGAAAACGAGGTAAGGGAACCTGAAAGGTAAAGTAGAGCCAAGAGTAGAAATGAAAATACTCACAATTTTGTATAACCTAGCAGATGTGGTTAAGATAGCTACAGGGGGTAGTCAAAAACTCTCAAAGAAAGATACTGCCAGATCATGTAAATAATGTTAGACAAAAGTGTTGGAGGAAATCCACATACCAGTCCACACAATGTCCTTGAGCGGGCAATTCAACCAGGCTGCTAAGAACATGGAAATGTGACAATCTGATGAGATGTGATTGATAGAAGTCACTTCATCTTCAAATAGAGTCCAGAATAAGCGATATGGATCAATTTTGTACTCATCTCATCAATGTAACCAGGGATAAATCCTGATAAACTGAGAGATTCCAATGAATAAAAAGTCATTGTCTAGCACCTCGAAAGGCATTAGTGCGGGTGACATAATACTTCAAGACCATCACAGCATATAACAAATTATCGAGATTTGATCAGTAATAGAAGTGAAAAATGGTGATCAGATTAATCGGCGAAAAGGATTTATCCCCCTCCCTGGCTGCCAGTATTTTAAGGAAGAAGAACCGGTCTGAGGACGTAGGTAAAATTATAAAACATCCTGTGCACAATCAAGTCAAACCAATCTGAATGGCGACAACTGTAGGTCAACAGCAACGAAAAGTAAACCTTCAGGGAAAGGTGATACATAGTACATGAGGCTAAGGTCTCAAACAGACGTTGAGAAAGGTCATGTAATGCCACCTTAACCCTTTCCACATGGGTCAAAGACCATGTCATTTCATTTTTTGACTTGCATTCAAAATTTTAAAACAAATAAACATCGATTTTTGTGTGTCAGGTGGTATGTTGTATGCAGCACTGGTTGAAATTAAATGTTTGTGATGTAAAATTACCATGTCTATAGATTCGTACGAATTAGGAACTCAAATTACCGACATTGACAAGTTAGAATATAAAAATAAGAATTCGATGACAAGGAACCCACTTTGAGACTAATAATGGCTGGAGATGATGATGACAAAACCTTGTCGGAACGTTGTACATTTGCTGTTATGTTAAACTTATATTAAAGTTTTTCTTTATTACCCATTCAAGCCGTCTCCAGCCATTATAAAAATAAGAAGCTCTTATCTTTTCTGTTTGGTAAGATATTACTCATATAACGAAATAAACACAGTGGCACCCCGCCAACCTCTTTCCATTTTTGAAAACACTCCCTTATATAAACTTATTTCTATACATGACATGAATAACCAATCGAAAGCACAGAATGTACCCCTAGTGGCTTTCTTAGCCATTTTAATGTCCTAGGATACCATTTCTTTCTTTCGAACCAAAATTTCAAGGAGGTAGGTTGTGTCATTAGTCTGCTCAAAAGTTCATATTTTTTTAGACTGAAATACAGTTTGCCGTATTTTTCGGTGTATCAGACGCACTTTTTTACCTCAAAATTTGATGTC